AGTCAAAAATTGGGATTTTTCCAAAGGGGTTAGTCCATGGTTTTGGTCAAAAGTTTGAAAATATTCCATCTTTTTATTTTTGGCAAAATCAGAGAGGAAAGTGTGTTTGACGATATTCTAGAAAGGAAAAAAGCTTTTCTAGACTATAAAAAAGAGAAAGTTAAAAAAGTCAAAAATTGGGATTTTTTCAAAGGGGTTAGTCCATGGTTTTGATAAATAATTTGAAAATTTTCCATCTTTTTATTTTTGGCAAAATGCAAGAGGAAAATGTCTTTGACGATATTCTAGAAAGGAAAAAAGGCTTTTTAGACTATAAAAAACAGAAAGTTAAAAAAGTCAAAAACTGGGATTTGTCCAAAGGGGGTTAGTCCATGGTTTTGGTGAAAAGTTTGAAAATTTTCCATCTTTTTATTTTTGGCAAAATCAGAGAGGAAAGTGTGTTTGACAATATTCTAGAAAGGAAAAAAGCTTTTTTAGACTATAAAAAAAAAGTTAAAAAAGTCAAAAATTGGATCACAGGCATTGCAATGGTGACTTTGGTGACTAGGATGACAAGGGTTGGTGGGATAAGGTGAATGACTCTATGACTGGGATACCTGTGGCAACCAGGATGGCAAGGGTGACTATGATGAACCTGTGATAAGTAGGATAAATGGGGTGACTGGGATGACTGGGTTGACTGAGATGACTAGGACTAGGCTTATCCCCTGTTAGAGACCCCAGTCACAGAACAAAGTGTCTCATACCAGTTTAGTAGGTTAGAAAAAAACTTTTGATACCTGGAATGCCTGAAACCGTTAATGGGACACTGCCATCCTCAGCTGTCACTTTTGATGTCCTCTTTTAATTGTAGAAACGTTTTGATATACAACTTGTGATGGGCAAGGAAATTTCCAAAACATTCCAAAATAGGATGGGTTCTGTAAAATGGGAAGAAATGTAAGAGATAAATTATACAAAAAAATTTTAAAATGCCAAGTAGAAAGGAAGAATAATAGTTTTCCTACCTACATGTATATATGCACACCCTTTTTGGCAAAATTAATGTTTCCTAGCAGATTAAACAAATAAAGCCTTGCTTTGATCTTTTTACTGACAAACCACAAACCCAAACAAACATCAGAATACTTCTGGAACATGTGTTGTGAGAAAGAAAAGACAATCAGGTATGAGCAAAACTAAACCGCAAGCAAAGATGATAAATAAGTTTGTGGTTTTCTGGCAAACCAACATGTCTTGATATTTGCTGTGATTGATCATAAGATAACAAACATTCCTGAAATATCTCAAGGGTTCATGGTTTTGTCAGAGTTTCACAGCAGAATTCATTGAAGATGTTTACAAAAAGACTACAAAAGCCTGCCTGCAGTTATTAGTTAACAGGGACCTTAAGCATCAATGACGAAATGGGACGACAACACTGACCGGAAGTCAAATTTTCCCACGCGAACCTTCTTGGCATGTGTAAGGTTGTCAAAACCTCATCCAGCCTTCGTCGATGACAAAATACAGGGAGGTTTGCCACTGTCGCTAAAACGTAACTATAAAACTATACTTTTTTGATGTAAATCACTCTTTTTACCCCTTATTATTCAGTACAAGTAGAAATATATTCTTTGTGGATTAGCAGAATCCAAATGTTAAGCACTTTTTTCATTTCTTCGCCTGCTAACTAAATTTTTTTTTCAGGTTCCATTTGTCTGAAAACCTGAGTGACGGCAGAAAAACCAGTCAGAAAGACAAGTAAACTTTACACAGTGCTATCTTAAAAACCTGTTAGATTAGATGCTATTCGTTCTGTGACGGTCTATGTTTACTCGTGCATTTTAGGTTGTACTGTAGGATAAAATTAATGTTCATTTTTTTGTATTAAAATTATTTCCCATGTTGTTTTTAGCCGCTAGTAAAGGCAACTATTTCCAGTGGACTCCTGAACATAATGTGGTTATGTCGAGGAGCTTTGAGAGATGACAAAATTAATATTGGAGAACAATTTGGAGCAGCACTGAATTTCTCTTCAGCAGCTGAAATTTAGAGTAACTGCAAGTCAAGAGCTGTTCCAGATCGGTAGTCACTTTTAACTTCAAAACAAAAACAAAAGCTGGGATTTTCCCTACCCTATATCAGAACTGAACTGCCATCCTTAAGAGTCCAGCATGTGTCCTGGAAACGTTATTCCTATTTCAGACCAAAATATGTGATTTTCCCTACCCTACATGTACATGTATATCAGACCCTAAACTTGCTCAAAACAATCAGTACATTCAAATGTCACATTCAAACTCTTTTCTTTATTACTTTTTGCACACTATCATTAATTGTTATGTTTATTTTGCTTTATATGCAGTAATAATTCTTTATATGTTGTAATAGTTTGCCTTTTCTCTGTAAATTTTGTACTTATTAATTTTTATTCTCATTGTAACTTAGCAGCACATTGTAACTCTCTGACCTACACCATATAAGCCTCTGGCTTTGGCATCTTATTATTGTTAACTTGTGCTTCGTGTACTTATTTATCACTAAAGAAATTTTATATGCTACCCAAAACATCAGGAACTTTTAACAACAGGTGATGTGCTGCATGTTTCATGCAACATGCTCATAGAAATTGATGGCATCATTTCCCCCCTATAAATAAGGCAGCAAATTTGGCGATCACTCGAAACACCCTCCCCCCAAAAAGTGATCCCACATCCCCGATCCCTAATTCCCGATCCTGATTTTCCAGTACACGAAACCCCGATGACATGTATATGTGCATATAAACAAACAACTACAACTACTGGAAATGAAGTCAGGAAATGTGTGCATAACCTTGTAGAGGTAGTCTCTATCAAATTTCTAGACACATACAGTCATAGGATGGCCTACCTGTAAATATTAACTCAATAACGTGCTGCTCTGTGCGGCGATTAAAGCTTCCCGTTGCTGAAGTTGGCACATTTGTATACATGTAAATGAGTCAAACAAGGAGGAATAAGCCACCAAGCAGTTAGTCGTTTAAGCCATATAGCTGAAATTGAATACAAACGGTAGAATCACCATATAGTCCATGATATCTGAATACACATGGCAACTTTCTGGCGCCATCTTGCGCCATCTTGGTTTTCCTTCTTGGTCCCAGGTTTCACTCAGTATGTGCTGCTTATCCGGGCACCTTCCACAGCGGAACACAGCGGCAGTCTCCTTTGTTTCGTCACGCAAAGCTCCTCTTTGTGGGGAGGTGCGTTGCGTGACCAAACTAAGAACTGTTGTTCAGCAGACAATTAGTCCGGGATATGAAAGGGGTACTTCTTCTGTCAAAAATGATATTTAAAAGGGGATCATCAGGGGCACCCAACAACTGTTTTGTTTAAGATATCTGTTCGGAGAAGCAAATATTACCTATAATTTTCTATATCTTGAGGACGGCTAAAAATTTCTAGATGACCTTTCCATTCCTGCATATGTACAAGTTTCGAAGCTTATCTTATGAATTCCTCCTGAAGTTTAATCGATCCCATTTTGCTCCCCAGGTTACACTACCTTTCGTAGGAAAAGGAAACCTAAAAGTTTCGGATTTGATTGAGGCATTAGTAACCGATATTGCGTAAGACAAGTTTTTTGTCACATACATGACATCACCATGCATATATGCCATTCCCACTGTGTAGATATAGCACGGATATTTCGATTCATAAAGAAGATCTTACCGTAAATGGAATCTGTTTCGACAGAATCTTAGGAAAACTTAGTTACTTCCCAACTAACGGTTTGGATTCTTGCGTCGGAACTCGGTCATAAAGTTATCTGTATTTTTCACAAATTCTACCACGTGTAGCAGCCTTACTTAGCTGACTTTCAATTTCTTTTGTTAACGAATGCCTACAGACACCTGTTTTGTGCATAAGAATACTATTGATCTTTTATAAAATTAAAAACCAATTAACTTAATTGTTTAGTATACTGCAGCGATCTTGAATTGTAAGCTAAACTTCACTGAAGACTTGCTAGAGTTCTACGAGCTGTGTAAGAAGCCAATAAACCGCGTTTCAAACCCGGGGGGACTCCGCATATGAAAGGGGTAGGGATGTTCGTCGTAAATTTTGAATTAAAACCCCAAAGGAGACCGATCTGGGCGTGGCCCAAGCGTTTTTTGACCCCTAAAAGAGACGAAAAAAATATACCTATCAACTATATATTTTTATATTTTTTCGCGTGCAACCCCAAACGAGACCTTCACGGCTAAATAAGATGGCGTTTTGCCCAGAACACCCCAAGTGAGACCAAAATCCGAAATTTACACTCCTAAGCGAGACGACGAGCATCCCCACCCATTTCAAATACGGAGTCCCGCCCGGGGTTTCAAATCAGTCTCTCAAAATCTGTACGCCTACATTTACTTGGAATATTAATCTTATTTATACCAAGAGTTGTATCTGCCATTACCTTTATTGCGTGCATTATCATTTACATGCAAATATACTAATATACCCTCTCGCTTTATAAAGGGAACAAAATCGCCCTAGTGAGTTTTGCGAAAAAGGCGGTATAGATTGTTAGGTAAACATTTACTCCTAAACGCAACCATTTCCGGTAGCTGGCAAGTGCTAGTCATCGGAATTCTGCTAGTCTTGTGCAAAAAAAAAAAAAACAATACAACTACGACAAAAAAATCAGAGAGTACAAGGACTCAGTTACTTGGATATTTTGTCCAACTCTGAAATACTCAATACGGCTGAGAGCATATTTATGCAGTCTTTACGTCATTTGGGAAACAGGAAATAGTTATGAACGCCAAAAAAACTATGGGAAAGTATCACTGTCTTGGACTCTTTTTTATCGCAGCCTTTAGTGGGTATGTTATTTTTAACTTGCGAATATTCGGCCTTCCCCAAAACACTAAAAAAAAATTATTACTCAATCAGAAAGGATCGCCTTGGCCTTCCACAACCAACAGGGGATCATTAGAAGCGGTTGATGAAGTGTTTCTCCAAGATGGCGATACATTTTTACGCTATGTACATCCGTATAATTCTTCTATTATTGGAAAAATGACGTTTAAACTAAAAGGGAGAGCTTTGGAAACTGGTAAAGAGTTGATTGAGGATCTTGTACGTGAGTATAAACGAAAACCAGTTGAAATGGAGTCCGTGGACGTTCTACCCAAGCTGATTCCTGTCTCAGCGATTTCAAGCAATCATTTCAAAGAACTAATGGCACATGTAACTCCAGCTAAAAAGATCCTGCCTCATCGAAAAATGATCGTGTATGACTTGGGACTAAGTCAACAAGAAATCGACCACCTGAAGAGCATATCACACATAGAATATAGAAAATTTAACTTCTCTAGATTCCCCGAATATGTCAAAGATCTGCATACGTATGCATTTAAACCGCTCATTATCGCAGAAATGCTTGCCCAGTTTGGCGGAGTGTTGTGGATGGATGCCTCAGTCATCTTCGGTAGAAATTACTCATACCAATTCCTTTTGCAACGAATGGTTAAGCAGAGGTCAGGATTTTTATTCTACCTTTCTGATGCTCGTAAGCATCACTCCATTTTATTTGCTACCCACAAACACATGTTTGACTACTTACCAATGAAGGGAGAAAAGGAGAAGAAAGCGAACATGCCTCAAGCTACTGGCATGATATTATTCAACACGAAATACGTGATAAAACATGTGATGAAATGGGTCATATTATGCAGTCTGATAGAGGACTGTATTGCACCCAAAGGCGCTCGGCTAAAATGCGATTTTTCTTCCCCTGATAGATATAATAGGTTTGGAGGATGCCATCGGTACGATCAATCTTTGTTTTCAATCGTTGTTTCAAACGCTTACAATGATCAACCGCACATGTATCGCTTGAATTCTGGGGAGTATCCTGCTCGCGTAAGAAAAAGGGTGTAAAATTTGGTGGGGTGAAGTGTCATATAGTGCAAAAATGATCATAACAAAGAGGAAAGGGAAATTTATGAAAGGATAGTAGCAGTTTTTGATTTTTCTAGTTTCTTTTTGTAAGCATTCATGTTGAAAAGTTTGAAAGGCGCTTTACAGCGTAAGATCCAGTTTAGGTTCCATAACGTACAATGGGGAGAGCAGAGCTTAGAGCCAACACTCCTGAGGAATGTTTTTCAAGCCTCATCCTCAGAGGAGGGCTTTGTAGTGGAGATTAGACTGCAAAACAGTCGGTTTTCTTCTCAAAATCAGTAAAGAAATCGGTAAAGCGTGGCGTAGGACTCTTACGCGCGCGAAGCGCGCAAGCCTCACTCTCGTAGTCTCGCTCTCTGTTTTCAGCCTCGTTCCAGACCTTTTGTGTGACTGCTCGCGGGTACTTGAATACGCAAAGATACGGACTGTTTTGCAGTCTAAGTGGAGATAAGATGTTAATACCCTCGACATAAGTAAACTAAAAAGGTTTTCAATGGTTTTCAATGCTTCTTTTATTTACCCCTTTGCTGTTTATTACTTGACACCCTCTGTCTAAACTACTTTAGTTTCGTAACCTAGGTTCATCATTTTACGTTGCCTTCACGCACTGCTTTATTGGGATTTTTATTCCAAACGGCAGTTTGATTGTTGTAGTCACTTTGCAGGCCAGTCCGTTGCCGCAGCCACACTTGTGTTTGTCCTGTATTAAAGAAAACACATACCCTTTTGGCTCTTGAAATATTTTCTAATACATTTAAACCTCTTTAAATGGATTCACACGAAAAGGTTAAATATCTAGATATCAGTGGTATATAGGTATATTAAATCTGTTCTTAAACAAAATGAAGTAAAAACGGAAACCACGCATCCCCCCGAAAACATTGGATGAAGCTGCTCTCACTTGCAGCCGCTGTTTTTGTTTCGTCACACAATGGGGAGGAGCTTTGCAGCAGGAGACAAAAATGGCTGCGAGGGAGACTAGGATGAAGCTGCCTATGACTTCACTTAAAACGCCTTCCCATCCTTGTCTTAAGTTGGGGGAGGAGGGGGGGTAAATTTCTCGTATATTTTGTCCAACCTACTCTTTCCTAAGTTGGTGTCAGCATTTAACACTTGATATTATTGGGTCACTGAGAACAAGAACTGTTACTAGCAGTGAATCGGGGTTGTCTGTCTTGTTGGAAAACATTTAACTAAATAGCCTGAGAAACCAGCCGAAATATCGCGACGCTACCACTGGTTTTCCCGCCAAATGACGTCTGAGGAACGACGGCGGAAATTCCATACTGATCCAGATCTGGGTATTGCTTCAACCAATCAGAAGCACTGGCCAGGTCTGGGTAGTGACAAGATGAGTATGGATCCGAATTTCTGCAGTCGTTTTTCAAACTTCGCTTCGCGAGGAAACCAATAGTGGCGTCGCGAAATGTGGACTGTTTTCCTAGGCTATCATTTAAACCTGTCGCTTACTTTTAACTTTAAGGGTATTTCTTAAAACCCCTCTCCAGCAAGACTTTTCCATTAGGTTTTGACCCTTTCACCTAGATAATATCAATGCTGTCGCCAACATTCGGTAAGGGCTGTCACTGTCATTGCACAAAATCGACGTCAAATTAAGAGCAACGTCGTTATTTACACAGAAAAAATCTGACATGATTGCCAGTAGTTACAAAGCGCCATAGATATTTGAGCCAAAGTTGTCACTGATTGTATAACCCAAGGCCGTTACTAACATTAAATTACAAAATTAAAGCGCCATGGAAAGAATAACCACTCATCATACCAGGGCTACTACCACCTTTATAAACAGTACACCGTTAAGTTAATTGACTCACACAAAATAAAGGCTTTCTTGATTTACTTACCACGAAGTAGCAAGTAAAGTACTCCCCGAGTTTTGGAGCACATCTCTTTCCCAGTGCACAGCAGAAATTTGATTGGCACTCCGATTCGGAGGAACAACTCTGTTAATATAATTTCAAAACTTTGCATTTAGATGTAGAGGTAGCAGATAAAGGATAACGAGGCTCATACGAAGGGGGTTAATACAGTGTAGAATAAAGTGGGGTATTAATACTTCCTCCTCGATAGGATGTAGGTCTATAGGAGGATTACACCAGGGACATCTCACTAGGACCCCTTAGTTTTATACTCCTGGGTGAAGAGTGACAAAGTGGGAACATACATGTACAGTATCTTTGTGTGAGGAAACTACACCTCTCTCCTCCGCAAAGGCTACCGCAGGGTATCCCCATGAAAATAGCAGTAATCGAAAAATAGAAAGCGCGCGCTTACTTTTTTTACACTTGTACGCGTCGTATTTTCAACTATTATCTCGGTGTTCAAAATCTAATAGAACACCATGACTCGTGTTTGGTAATTAAATCCTCAATATTCGAGAAGCGTTGAAAATCAAAACAAATGGGAAAATGTGATTAAGAATCCTCACGTTAAACAGAAAGCGCTTGACTCTGGAAACATTATCAGATTGGTTATCCAAGTCCACAGTCTCCACATCAATGTCCACGCCTTCCGGCATGCATTGCTTGACTGGGTAGACGGTTCCGCTTACGATCAGCCTCTTGGTCAGAACACATTTCAGTCCAGCCTGGCAGTCTCCCTTTTGAGTGGGTATGAAAGAAAACGAAGAAGAACTTCACATTTAATGAATGTCTCTTAAAAGACGAAAAACATGGCTAGATTATACGTCCTGTCATCAGTAAATCAAAAGTCAAAATGTTCGAAGACTTCAAGTAATAGGCGACGAGCTTGTGTGCTACAAACTCAGTGTTAAGCCATCACCAATTTTCTTGCAACGCATATTTGTGGCTTTGGTTTTCATAACAGGAGGGAGGGGTTTTTAGTCCGTCATCTACCCTTTTCTTAACGAACTGATACATCAATTAGCTATATGCTGGGTATGTTACAAAAACGTAGAGTAGTGGGGTACGGAAAATACTTTAATGAGAGAGTTTCTTCAAAAAAAATGCTATTAAGCTAAACATATGGCTGGTTATGCCTTTAACTGTTCACTGTAGCTACAGCCTCAGACATAAAACGTTTTTGTTATAGATGTGAATCAGAAACCATATCGTTAGAATTGAAAATATAACGAAACATTTTACTGAGCATTCTTGTAAACTGAGACAAATACAACGTGTCTCATGAATTGGAAAGAAACCAATATGAATGTAAACAGTGTAATCGGTCAAAAGTATATGATTATAGTGAAATGTACCTCCATTTTACACTCCGCAAGCTCAGGGAGATTTGAACTTCCCTGGAAGACAAAAAAAATGCAAACATACATTTAAGTTAGTTTGGGGTTAAAACGGTAAGACATCCTCTACGCATAGAGAGAAAAAGGATATTAATAGCGCAAAAAGAATGTGTTTGAAAATGGTTCAGGAAGTTTGCCCATTTTGCGACCTTGTTCCAGACAAAAAGGTTATTTGACACCACTCAAGACAAATTAAAAATTACGCTCAACAACTTCATCTATAAAGAAAAAACCGGCGGATTATAAAGAGGACTGGTGCATTTTGCTATTTTAATATAGCAGCCCTTGATCTTAAGGTTCTCGTTAAAGGTTATTGTAAAACTTACCAAAGCAAAAGAAATGCAAAGACTCAGAAAGATAACAATCATCATGACTTCTTGAACTTCAACAGAGAGCTCTGGAACTATGTTTTTCCGCTCTGTCTCACTGATTTTTGTTTTTAGAGCTGCTTTTCGATTTTTATACAGATTTGTAAGGGAGAATTAAAGTGCCAGCTATTGGACCAGTGAACACCACCTAAAAAGTACAGAGTATTGTCAAATAATTTGTTCAAACTAATTTTGTGTCTGCAAAAAATGTGTTTAATCAACTGTTTCTTCTCAGTACACGTGGAGTTAATCTACAATCTCGGAAAAAATGGTTAAGAAGGTTGTATAACTTAACGTCAGTTCATTTTAAGGTTCATAAAAGATGGTTTCCCCTTTTGCTAAACACTGTGACTCTTTTTTGGCCTATTGAAAATTGGGATATATCAGAACAATTACGCGCACAAACACTTTGGTTTTGTTCACTATTGCTCAAGGGGGCAGCAGGGGACGGGGAAAAGATTAAAAAACAGGTAAAAAGAAGTGGCCCTCCTAGCACTTTTGACGGTGATTGTAGGTCATTTTCGTCCCCCTCTCCATCCGCGTGCTCCCCACGCAAGCTTAAGTGGATCTTATGCCGTGCTACTTACAACGTTCCTTAGTTAAACATTCTCTTAAATTAAAAGCTTAAAAAGACGTTTAAAAGATTGTGATCTAAGTGCAGCAAACCATCGTTGGTACAGCCGCCTTGGGAACATTTCGTAATCCAACCTCGTTCCCAGATACAGGTAGGAGAGAACCCTGGGAACCAAGTTGTTCGTAATCATCAAACGATATTGTTAGCTTTTGGAAAATATTTTGAAATTCTTCCCCTGTTAACTAAGCATCTGTATCTATCTCTTCTGTGTCGTGGCGATTTTAAAGCTGGTTGAATTATCACTTTTTTCACACCATGCAATTGTGTTTATTACAAATTAAAAAAGCTGAAAGGAATGCCCTATTGCTGAAGGGTCAATGTTTGTAGGGCCCTCATTGATAGCAGCATTTTATGCTGAAGAGATAACCCTGGCTAAATAACATTTATTATTATTATTATTATTATTATTTATAAGTCTGATTAACAATTCTCATTTGCAAGGGGGTAGTCGAACCGCGAACTACAGCTGGAACTACGTATGTGTATATCAAATTCGCTACTTTACAAAGTGATTGTTTATAGAGATGAAACGTCTAATGAAGACGAGGCTGTTTTAACGAACAAATCTTTTTTTCTAAGTAACCACTGAAAAAGAAAGTTTTTAACATAAAAGAAGTCGTCCTGAATTTGTTCACCGAACTGACCAAAGCTGACCAAATACAATTTTACACACGAAAATGGTTTTTGGAAGTGATCTTATGAATTACCTCAGTAAATAGCTGTATTTCATTTTGTTAGCATAGGTAGCCAATGCGCCTGTTTAAATTTCAAGACAAGGACAGGAGTGTACACTTGGCAAATAAAAGCATCACAACATTATCATAACTTGTAAAAAGAACCATTACAGATATTCTTAAACCTGTATGAATAGGCCTCCCCCTCGTTCCACAGTGTAGAGGACCATTCGATTTAAAAGATAATAATCTTAGCTCAACAGAAGTTTTCAAAATCATTCTTTTTGTTTGTTGCCGGCAATGAATTAATAGATAGCTTAAGGTGATTTTACATGGGAGGATTCGCAAGGACGATGTTTTGCGCAACAAAGCGTTGCAATGTTGGAACAATGTTGCAACAATGTCGCAACGCTGTGTTGCGCTAAAAATCGTTGTTGCGAATGTCCGTGTAACATCACCTTTAAGCAACGACCACGACGATGGCTACAAATGCGTTACTTAAAAAGTAAAGTCGCGCTACTTCAAAATTTATCGCGCTTATTCCACTTCGTTCAATTCTTCAAATGTTGGCATTTTTTCTGGAGTTGAATTCTCAAAGGCTGGAATAGAAGTTCAGGAAAAGAAAAAGAAACTGTTGCCTTTTGTTCACGTCATCCAAAAAACGTAAAATTTGACATTTTCATGTCGTAGTCGTACAATGACGGCAAAGAAATGTACAAAAAAGTGTGATTCAGGCGCAAAGTTGTTGTTTTGCCAATCTAAACCCATTGCTTTAATTTTTTGCCGTTTTCGTTGACGTCGCCGTCGTCGTCGCTACGCTACCCAAAATTGATAAGCTAGAAGAAAGATTACAGACTTTGACCCTCTCACGGGGTATTGAAGTTCAATTAAAATGCAGATTTTTTTGTCGAAAAAAAAAAAGACATCAAACTTAAGATGACCCTTGCGTCTTAGTGCCGCCAATAACAGTTGAACAAACGGCTATTTCCTTCGGTTTGGATAAACTATTTTAAAGCCCTTACGGTGATCAATCTTGCTTTAATAAGAAGCACTAAGCCCTCTTCACTGAAAATATAAAAAAACAGCTGAGAAATCGTACGCAGTACTATGAAATATCTGTATTGAATGCAGTAGATCCACTCACCTATTATAAGAAGTTCAGTAAAATATGATCAGTTTCGCTTAGTCGATCGAAATGAAGACCTTTGTTTTCTTGAGTCTTTGCGTCACTCTACCTCTGGTTAAGCTTAGTTTTTCTTAACCTCATTTATCGTAACTTCTTGTTCAGTTTATCCGTTGAATACTATCTTTTCGCAAACCAGACCAAGGATCTTAAGGAACGTTCTTTTAAACTTGACATCACAATATATGCGCAAGATTTTAGAAACAGAGAAACAGCCACATCACTGCGTTGTGCTAATGTTCAACAATCAATGTTCATCTGCCAGTATTAGTTAAAGAAAAAGCAACTGGGAATTTTTCTTAGATGACAGCCTCTATTTAAGTTTGTTTCTCACATTCAAAGTCCTAGTCTTGTAAGCTTGTTCACGAAACTAGATAACTGACCCAAGAATAAACAGGGGCACCCAACGTCAATCTTCGGAAAATATCTGTTCGAAAGAC